ATTGGTGAATCGGGCGGTACGTGATAATATTTTGTTTTGCCATGGACAACGATAAAACTGCCCAGCCGAATGCCGAAGCCAGCAAGGTGAGAGTGAAAATTTCGCCGTGAGACCTGAGACGTGGTTTTATAAGGTAGAGGCCCAGTTTCAAATTAGTGGAATCAAAAATGAAGAAACGATGTTCAATTATTTGGTAGCCCAATTAGAACCTATATTTATGGAGAACATTTGGGACATCATAAAAGACTGTACGAGCAACAAATATTCGGCTGCTAAGGAACGATTACTCAACACTTTTAAGGAAAGTGAAAATCACCACATTAAATGTCTGCTCACTGGGTTGGAACTTGGCGACATGAAACCCAGCCAGCTCCTTCTCAGAATGAAATCTCTATGGGTAGACATGTCGGAGAATATTTTGCGATCTCTCTGGCTGGAAAAGATGCCAGATGCTGTAAGAAACATTTTAGTGGTTAGTAACAAAACTCTGGACAAGTTGGTCACAATGGCTGATAGAATTGTGGAACTAAAAATAGGCTGCCGTCAGCAAAAATACAGTGGTGGAAGAACTACAGAAAATTGCCTCATTAGAGCTCCAAACCACAGTAGCCGTTCGAGGTCAAAAAAGGAAAATATTGTTATTACCATTTTAAATTTGGCACTAAATGCTATCCTGAAAAATGTAAACAACCTTGTGAATGGAAACAGTCGGGAAATGTAAATCAACAGTAAACTCTGCGGCCAGTTCTAATGCAAGCAATTATAATTGCCGGAAATTCCAACTATATGTCACTGACAAAAAATCGGGATTAAGGTTTTTAGTGGACAGTGGTGCCGACGTATCCTTTGATCCCAGCAACTATAGCAGGAACTATGCCATGTTCCTATACATTATATGCTGCCAATGGCACAGAGATCCCAACTTATGGTGTAAGAACTCTAAATCTTGACTTTAGATTCTGACGACAATTTTAATGGACATTTATTATCGCGAAAGTTAATAAAGATATCATTGGGGCTGATTTTCTAAATCATTCAACTACTTATTGATATTCATTCTTGTTCATTGTTACTCAGTTATCTGTAAAGGCTGCAGTTAGATCTATCTCAGATGAACACATCATCAGCACACTGAATAATAAAGATAAATCGAAATTTTATGAATTATTTAAATCTTACTTAACTAAGCCATATGCTTTCAGTACCTCAAGTAAACATGATATGAAGCACCACATAACAACCAAAGGGGTGCCTATGCATTCACGAGCACGTCCAATCGATCCTGAAAAACTTGCCTTAGCCAAGCAAGAATTTTGTTCATGTTGGAGAAAGGGAATCATTCAACCATCAAAATCTCAATGGCCTAGTCCTCTACATTTAGTCAGTAAAAAGGATGGAACAGTTAGAGCCTGCGGGGACTATAGACGATTAAATGATCAACCCACACCCGAGCATTACACAATTCCTAGAATCGAAAATTTTCATCTTATCTTGTAGGGTAAAAATATATTTTCAAAGACAGATCTAATAAAAGCATACTATCAGATACCAATTGCTGAAGAAGACAAACCAAAGACCGCCATAATTATCCATTTCAGGTTATTTGAATTCAGTGTTATGAGTTTCGGAATCAGAAGTGCACGGGCTACATTTCAGCTTTTCATTAACGAAGAATTAGACGATGTATTAATAGCCTCATTAGCTGAGGATGAACACAAACAACATCTGCAGACAGTGTTTGAGAGACCGAGCAAATCTGGACTTTGCATCAATGTATCAAAATCCATTCTGGGAGATCAAATTGAGTTTCTGAGTTATCTGATCATGTCCTCTGCCTAGCAAGGTCCAAGTCATTTTAGAATACCCACTGCCAGTGACCCTACAAGACTTGTGTACCTTCTTGGGTATAATAAATTTTTATCGCAGGTATTTGAGAAATGCTGCTCAAACACAAGCACCACTGCATGAGTTTTTAAAGGGTGCAAAAAAGGATAAAAGAAATGTCCCCTGGACTGAGGAGACAATACATCAATTTGAAAAATGCAAGCATGATTTAGCTAATGCTGCCGCCCTTTTATGTTTCCCTTCACCTGGCCTTCCATTATCATTGAGCACTGATGCATCAGACTGTGCTATTGGTTCGGTACTACAACAGTTAGAAGCAGGAAATTGGAGGCCAATTGCTTTCTATTCAAAGAAACTGAATGATGCTCAGAAATCTTACAGCAGCTACGATCATGAACTCTTGGGTATATGTCTCTCAGTGAAACATTTCAAGTACATGCTAGAAGGTAGAGAATTTGTAATTGTAACTGATCACAAGCCATTGACCTTCGCCTCTAAGCAAAAAATGAGAAAACATCCCCGAGACAACTGCAATACATTTCGCAGTTCATCACAGATTTTGGGCATATTAGTGGACAAGAGAATGTGGTTGCGACACTATCACTATCACAAATCTCTGTTATTGATTATGAACAAACTGCCACAGAACAAAGTACAGATCCAGAATTGAAAGATCTAATGGAAAGTGACACGACACCTAAATTTAGCCAGTCCGTACTTCCATCTTCAAAAGTTTTATGGTGTGATACCTCACAAAAGATTCAGCCGTATATTCCAGCCAGTTTCAGGAAAAAACCTTTTGATCAAATTCATGGTGTTTCACACCCTAGAATTAAATCTACTATTAAACAGATGACTGCTATTTTTGTGTGGCCTGGAATGAATAAATAATTGAAAGACTGGGCACAAGTATGCATCAGATGCCAAAAATATAAAGTTACTAGACCTACCAAATCTGAATTTGTGGAATATCCAGAACCAGATACCCATTTCAGTATAGCGCATATCGATCTCATTGGCCCATTACCTCCTTCAAAATGGATACGTATACGGTTTAACCTGCATTGACTGACTTAGAGGCTGGATGGAAGTCATCCCATTACCATACATCACTGAAGAAGTTGTAAGCAAAGCCTTCTATGAGCATTGGATTTGCATATTTGGCGTCCCATATAAAATTATTATGGATCGTGGAGCCCAGCTTCAATCACAGTTGTTCAGGAGTTTGGCTGTAATATGTGGGACTAAAATCCTTCACACTACAGCATACCATCGCCAATGCAATGGGAAAATTGAGATGCCTTATAGAACATTGAAGACTGCTATAAAAGCACTTAAAAATGCTCAGTAGACTGAAACACTATCAACAGTTATGTTAGGTCTTAGATCTGCTTTATGATGTGACACAAATTCTCAATAGCCCAAATGGTATATGGAACAAACATTAAACTACCTGGTGAATTTTTTGATTCATACAATTTCAAAGTTGACCCTGCTACCTTTGTGGTTAAGCTGCTAAACTACATGGAAAACTTAAAACCGATAAAAACACGGTGTGCTACCCATCAGAAAGTTTTTTCCACAAAGATTTAAAGTCATGCTCCCATGCTTTTGTGAGAACAGACAAAGTGAAAAAGCCACTTGAACCAACTTAACAGGACCGTTTCAAGTATCTGACAGAAATGAGAAATATTTTTCTGTGCTTGTTAAAGCAAAACAGTTCATATTTCCGTTGACAGACTAAAGCCCGCATACATGCTAGCTACTGATTCTGATCTTGTTCCTAACAAAGTGATTGTGGATAACAAAACTAACCAACAGTCAAGCGAAAAGTTTTCCAAAGCTATGGATAACAGCAAAACTCTTACAGTCCAGACACATTCAGGTATACAGGTAAAACTGCCCATCCGGTTTTGAGATTGAAATTATGCCTACACCTGTCTCTCCATTCCTCACTGCTTGTAACTTAGTTACTGGTGAGGGAGTAATGTTGGCAATTACTCTGGTAAAAGAAAAAGGAGAAGAAAACAGATATTGATCGGAGCCTTTTTTTGCCAAAAAAAAAAAAAAAAAAGACCAGACGATAAGCATAGAACTAGCATTTTTATTTAGAACTTTAACTTGATCTCGATTTTTTAGGAACTTTTGAATCAGCTGTAATAGAATACTTTTGTTTAAATGATTATCCTTTTAAACTAAATATGTAAATAATATTATGGCAATACAAAACTAAGAAAAGCTAAGTCATGCCTATGATTATTTCTACATGATGAATGATTTATTAAAGATGTTAGTTTTCCCTAGCAGCTATTCGGAATATAACACAGCATCAAGAAAATCATCAAAGGGGTAAGTCTTGAAATTTATTGAGCCTTTATATTAACAGATTTAACACAAATTGGAGTATTTACAATTTTTATTTAAAAGGCACACAATAATTTGTAACCTTCTGATATAATTGCCGCAATACAGACATGAAAAATGCAAATTAATTGTCATCAATTGGCCCAGTGAAATAGGAGATAGACAACTGTTTCCCTCCCTGTTTTTTTTTTTTTTTTTTTTTTGGTGTGTGTGTGTGTGTGTGCACAGTCTACATAATATTAAGTGGAATACAAGTTTCATTTACCATTTTCCTTAATTAATTTACCTAGAACATTGTGATAAACACAAATTTAACATGTAGATTATTACGTCAGTTACAGTGCATAAATATCAGTTCTAACGTTTCACAAGACTAAAAAACAAAACTGTATGGATTACTATAAACCTTTTGCAGCTAGGTTTTATGACAATGTGTATCAACGCTGTCTACATTTTTAGACATTATATACTAATAACTTTACATCTGGAAGAAGATTTATATGGATGAAGGATATTTTTTAGATGTACAATTTTAAACTCTTTGAGGACATTGAAAATGCATGGCTCATGATTTGCTCCCAAGTCTACTACATGGGTTATTTATTAATAACAATTTTGTTGATAAATTATGTTCAACAGACGCTTGTTTTATTATCACCATTATTCAAAATAATAATAAATCTTTATTTTTTTAACACATGAAATTAAGAAAATTCAAAGTCGTATTAAAAACAGCATTACTCTAAAGTATAGAAAAATAACAGCACTCTGAAGTCTAGCAAAATCCTTACCTCTTTATAGCTGAGATTCAAAGACGAAATCCCATCAACAATAGTATCCAGGCAAGATTCAGAAGATTTCTGAACTTCTGATGATAAACTATTTAACCATCCAGTGCAAACACCTTCTCTTTCACTCATTCTGCCTTTTTCTTTGCAAATTTTAAGAACATTAAATAAAATTTTGAACTGTGAATCCTCATCTAATGGAGAACTATACAGACAACAAGAAAAACAAAATGCCATCAGAAATGGAAAAAACTGCAGCACAAAATACTGATAACTTAAAATTTTTTATAAAACTTGATCAAAATTTAATTTTATATTATATTATATATATATATATATATGTATACACACACACATATATAGGGTGTCCCGTAAATGTTGTGACAAACCTCTGGCGGAGGTAGAGCACATCATAAGGATTAAGACTTGCATAGGAATGCCTGCCCAAAAATGTCACTGTATGCCACCATAGAGTGTTGTTGCACAGGAGAGTGCAAGTGAAAAGTGAGGATTGCTGCATTCGAGTGGTAGGCACCACACGAAGAGCATGGGACGCTATAGGAATTGGGAGCTTGTAAACACGTGTTTCCAACATGATGGGGGACCTGCTCATTTCGGACTAGATGCTCATAGCCATATGAACAGATCATTCCCACATCAATGGATTGGGCGTGGTGGACCAGTTCCTTGACCCCCCACGCTCCTCAGATTAATTAAACTAGATTTTTTTGGGGAGGGAGCCATAAAAAGTGTCATGTATCCTGTTGTGTCTGAAATAGATCTCCTGGCAAGGCTCGGCTCTGTAGCTGCAACAGGGTTCATAGCCACATTTTAGGTACAAAAATAAGCACCTATAAGCACTTTTCAAGCACAAAAAAATAAGCACCTGTCTAATTACATTATACACAACTTCATAACCTTAAAAATTAGACTTGTAATTTAAAATATGAGAAATGCAGTATTTATTAAGAGAGAATAAGCATAACCTCAACCATGGAATATAATTACTTTTTTTTTTTTAATATTTTAAATAACAGTTCAATTTACAGAACTAGTTTACAATGAGAGGGGGGGGAACTTAGCTATATTACAAGATTTCTTGTAACATAGTTTAGCAGAACTAAACTATATTACAAGATTTAATAATGAAATTTCAGTTCAAAATAGAGAAAATAAATAATAATAAGGCATATTTATTGCATTCGCTTGGAACCTAATAATAAATACAATTTATGTTTCTACTCATATTGATATTTAAATGATTTAAATCTAAATTCTGAACATTTTCTAAATTTTCATTGTATATCAGTTTTCCCTTAACAGATATTGCAAGCAAAGTAATTTAAGTAAAAAAAAAGAGGAACATTTCTGAAATCAAGACAGAAAATTGCTTCATGCAGTCATCCTTTAACAGTAAAAGCTTAACTAACCCGCATACTTGGAAATTGATGAATATTTGGACAGTCGAGCATAACTTGAAAAAGAGGAGCAGCGGGGGGTAGACTGTAGCAGCTCTTTAAATTTTTCCACTAAATAAACGCTTTTGACATTCCGATATGTGCATCATATAAAAATAAACCAATGGAACTGAAAAATATCTTGCTTAGCAAGCACAGTAAAACTCTTTTTAAGTGTTCATAAACAAATCTGGACAGAACATCAAAATTAATTATCTCTGCAAAATATCGCAAACGTTATTGCACAATACGTGAACCGTAATTCTTCCCTATGTGATATTACGCAATCGGAATCAACAGCTGCCGGTATTGGGAGAATAAAGAACTAAATAACTGTAGTGGTTTTCATTCTAATTTTCAACAGACTAGCGTTAATTTCTGGAATAGAATCATTCTTCGCTTGGGTTTGGTAGACCGCAGACTTTAGTCCTATTCAATCCAGATGGAAAATGACACAAAAAAAAAAAAAAAAAAGTCCATTTCTTGTTTTCCAGCGAACTATGGTAGTTTCAATATTCGAGATTTTGCGGAGAAAGGGGAGAACCTCCCAATTTTCGTACTGTATAATGCATTGGCCAAAAAAACAAAATTATTTTGACTATTCCATTTTCCCTTTATTTAAGCCATTCTGAATATTATTCCTTAGAAAGCTAATCTGTGTTAAAACACAACCATTTTTGAAAGTTTACTATACTTCAGCAGTTACTGCAACTATGTTATTATAAACATTCATACATATGCTCATAATATAAGCATAACGATCATAATAACACGAATATGAACTGACCACGCGGAACGAGAATGCCAAATTATTAAATCTTGATAGAAATTTCAAACGTTGTAGTATTTGGGAGGGAAGAAAAATGCCGAATGTACCTGGAATTTTCTACTGCTTTCGCAATTCTTTGACCAATAGAACGACAGGCACCTGTCTGTACTCTCGCGCACCAAAGGTTATTTTAATGCAGAGAAAGGGGAAAAGCTATTTCCGGGAGTATGATTCACCATCTGACATTCCATATAAGGAAAAAAGTTGTTTATTTAGTTTCGGCTTTGGTAGGGGGAAAAATAGCGCGTTCATTAAAAAAAAGCACTAAAAGCAAAAATAAGCACTAAAAACAAAAAAAAAAGGGCTTTAAAGAAAAAGTAAGCACCTTATAAGGGTCTTATATTTTATTTCAAATATAAGACTTAAAGCATTATAAGGACCGCTACAACCGTGCTACAATCAAAGAACTCCAGTGTATTGACCTGTTTGGCAATCATGGTCGTCAGGCTTTGGTGTCTGAAGGTGCAACTCGGCATCTGGTGCAATTTCTAGCTGTTATACCTTGTATTCATGCCAAAATGTTTCAAATTAATCACTTTCTTGTTTGCTTTTCCATCTTCTACCTCTGCTACCATTTACCCCTGACATTTCTGGGCATGGGTTCCTATGCAATTCTTAATTCTTATGATGATGCCGTACCTCCTCCAGAAGCTTGTTGTAACATTTACAGGATACCCTGTATACATATATATCATTGTCATGCAAACCATAACATTTCATTCAAGATTTAGCCCCAGTATAACATGGAATTGCACTCAATATATTCAAGCACAGTATCATTATCAGATGTTTCTTTTCCATTTGCTGTAGATATCAAGTGTTGCAGCAATTTTCAGAATCTTCTTTTTACTTTTAGTCTTTAATGAAAAAGTCTTTATATATTTTTTATTATTTGCAAGCTGACACAGAAGTAAATACTATAAACATTATCTTATTTTAATATCACTATTGGAGCTTTATTTTTGTCCTGTTATTTATTGTGTATTGCTTACTTTCTGAACTTATGTCTGTCCTGTATCCTGCAACTAGTCTAATATACCCAATTCCAATGATTATGTTTGACTCTGTTGAACTGCAAGTGATTATTTTTCCCCTTCATCCCAGATCTTTCCAGTCAACAAAAGTAAAGAATTAACACTACAGAGGGTTTTCACACATTTTTTTAACAATTTTGATTTTCTCCATGAATTTAAATATTAATTTTAAAATACAAACATGATTGGCATCAAATTGGAATAATGTTTAATCGCCATCTGTAGCATTAAAAATATTTTTTTTTCTTTAAAATGTTGCTGAAAAATAAACAATGGATCGAAGGCTATAGATTTGCGCTGACTCTTATTCAATTATTCAAAAAAGACGTGGTTGTTTTAATATTTCTACACGTAAAATAAGTGACATAATTAATACAAAAGGAAAGATACATCAAAATTTATATAACTGCGAAAAATGTATCCCCAACAAACATACGTACAGCTCTTATTAAATATAAAGTTGCATCTCATGTTTTAAAGGAAAATCCAGCAACCCCCCACAAAGAGCTATTGCAAAATCTTTAATTATCCCTGTAGGAATTGCAACTAAAATTATACGATTTAAAGCTAATCAACACAAAAAAGACATGATGTTCATCCCCAACACCAAAACATGTTTCTCAGCCCCCGACTATGTGCATATTGCTGTATGAAAATTATTTGGCAGGTGAAAATGGAAATACATAGTTACAATTGATGAGGCCTTGGATATATTTATCTGCTTACAATAGAAAAATATCGATTTAGTACCAAAAAAGAGGAGAAAAAGATTTAATATGTTGTTCAGAGAAAACAAGGAAAGTTTTTCCAAAGGTTTTATAGTTATTACTGAATTCCCTTAGAACGGAAAACTTAAAATAACGAAAGTAGAAGAAAAATGTCAAAATTAATTCAAATTACTATCAGAAAAATGTTTTAACGCCTATTTTTAAAGAAGAAATTCCATCTCTTTACTCAAACAATCTTCACTGTGTTAAGTTCCATCAGGATAAGGCTCCAAGCCACACTTCTAAATCTACTGCTTTATTTTTTGAAAAAATGAGAAATGAAACAAGAATTGAAGCTTTCCCCTTTAAATGCATCTCACCCAAGTCCAGTGAACTATTGTGCATTTGGACTTTTAAAGCAAGCTCTTTATAAGCAGCATCATTGGATGCCCAAAACACTGGATGAACTCCGGAGGATATTGAAGGAGGAGTGGAATAAAATAAACCTTGATGTTTTAAGAAAAGGACTTTTATCTTGGAAATCAAGATGTAATATGATTTCAAAGGGCTATCAGACTGAACGTACTAGAAAATAAAATTCTAGGATTTGTTCATATAGATAAATCTTTGCAAAATCATTACAAAAATGTGTTAACACCCTCTGTATAACTATATAGATAAAAAATACAACTGAAAAGAAGACAGTGGTTCCCAAGTTTAGTCATACTATACAACGTTCGAAGTTTCATCATTTACATTTCACTACAGCTAGTATGCCAATCAATATCATCTTTAAAATGAAAATTATTTCCTTGGGAAGTCCAAACATTAATTACACGGACATACTGAAATTAACCCTGTTGTCCCTGAATCTGATTCACCTAATTTTTCAGTTTCAGCTTTTAGTTGTTTTTTGCATCAATGGACAAGCCATTTTAGGGCTAAAATAAAAATCTTAATTACAAACCTAATCGTATGGGTAACAATACCAGTTGGTACATATATGTAACAGATAAACAAGAAGATAAATAATTTCTGAACTCTAAGTAATTCATACATACCCAATATTCTATTTCTTTTCTAAACATATTATAAGTATTACAAATAAAATTATGCATACAATTAAGTTTATTCGTGCACAAATTTGCTGTAAAATGTATAATACAGGCACTCACTTGTTTATTAACAAACATAACATTACATTTAGTGAAATTTGCATAATGTCATATACTGGGGTGACGTCGTGGTATTTAAATACTGCAGTGGTACACTTTTCGTTTAGTTATAATGTTAAATGTGTCCTGCAAGTATTTTTAAACAGCAGTGGTACACATGTGTACTGTTCAGGACAAAAGAGTTGATCATACAGCGCATAAACTGTTAAAGTAATGGTATAAGCTTAACTACAAATATTTTCATGAATTTTGATCATGCCTGCCCGACATCCAGACAATTTTGATCATCTAGAGAGATATGAAGTGAATGATGATACCAATGTTTTGGTGATACCTTGAAGAATGTACCATGGCCTGCTTCATTATGAAGAATACAGCAAATACTAAACAATGAGTGTCCTGCAATTACTAAACAATAAGTATGCACGAAATTTGCTGTCTACCATGAAAATATTATGATAGAAATGGCAATCTCACCTGGCAATTGAGTAAAATCTGGGTTTCAATGCAGGTAGATAATCTTAAAAAAAGAAAGAAAGAAAAGAGAAAAAAAAGTTAAAACATCTTCTTTAAACAAAATTAAGTATTAAAATAGCAGTTATATATAAAAGAAGGTAACATTACAAAACCTAATACTCTTTCAATGGGTGGAAGACAAGATTTAAAATGCAACAGAATATCAAGAAGTGACAGTGATGGTTTTCTGATATAATCTGTATATAATTCAGAAGCTTCTTGACTACTTAAAAACAATAAACACTTTCTCTCCTCTTCTTTCTTGGTATATTCTGCTAAGACTCGAAGGAGTATCTATTAAAATACAACATTAGACAATACATATATAAATAGATTATTTTAATGATAAACACTAAAAAATGGAATATTTATTTTGATTAAAAATCAAGAGATATGAAAATAATTAGGGAAGATCTCGTTTGAATTTGGAATAAAAATCCTTTACAATATAAAGTAGCAAATGATCTTCACCAGCCATTATGTATTTTAATTATTAGTCGTAATTTTTTTTTTCTTTCATTAAGTGAAGAAAACTCTAGGTAATGGAACAGATAATAGGCCATATCACCATAAAACATCTTTTACAGGATTAAACAGCATTTAAAGAAAAGCACAGTGACATTTAGGTCTATAGATTTCATTAAAACCCTGCCTAATTATTGATGTCCTCAAAATGAATGCAAACACATAACATAAAGCTTTTGAAAATAATTAAAAAAATTTAGACGAATGTTCTAAGTGACATTCATGTTATTTAAATCTCACCATTTTCAGCAGCCTTCAATAATTTGATAGGCAATGCATAGCACTTCAAATCAGAAATCTAAAATTTGAATTAATTACCAGTAATGCCATTTTCATCTGCATTATCAATATCCTTAATGTTAAGATGCAATAACACACTGAACAAATACTAACTTAGAAGTCAAACAGCAAAAATCAGCATTATATTTTCATATTTTCACAGGACTAGTTTCGATGCTTTTGCCGAACCATCATCTGCTGAACCATACCCAGCTGATTTTACTGAACCATCCTCAGCTAAGGATGATGGTTCGGTAAAACAATCGAAACTAGTCCTGTGAAAATTTGAAAACATAATGCTGATTTTTGTTGTTTGACTTCTAAATTAATATCCTTAATGTTATTTTTTTAGCCCCTTAACTGCAGTGGGCGTATATACACACCTTGCTCAGCCGATGCGTTAACTGCTCCGGGCACATATATACACTTTTCCGAAATGCTATCATTTGTTTTGTGCTGCTACTAGCAAAATTATTCACAAAGCTTTGGAATGCAACACCACAATGACCCTGACAGAGTATGCAAAGGAGGATACTATTTCAGAGAAGAGGGGGGGATGTTTCTGAAATGGTGAAAGTAATGACTGCGCAGTTATTGTTTGTGTTTCTGTTTGACTATAATGTGTTCCCCCCTCTTGTGTCTTCTAATTTCGTTACTGTTTGTGATTTTTTTATGAATATGCCTGACAGTGATGACTAATGACTGCACAGTTATTGCTCGTGTTTTTGTTTGAGTAAAACATACATTTTTTATTCTGTGTCTTCTATTTTTGTTTACTGTTTGTAATATGCGTTTTTTTACAAATATGTATGACAGTGAAATAGATAATTACTTTCCATCATATTCCAGATCGGGCACCTTAGAATATGATATTACATCAGATGTATAGGATTGTGACTATTCTCCAAAAGATGCTCGACATTGGGTACGAACTTGGGTATCAGAAACTTGCCTATGCCACCTCCACACTTTCCATTTAGGTATACTGATTTTACAAGATATAATTATGAAACCTGATACAGTCAAAAGTCATTAATCCGGACTCGTCGGGACTTCGGCGATTCCGATATAGATCATCAGTTTAAATCTGGTAAGATGGCATGCAGAAATTATAAAATTAAAAATATGAAACCGTTAATTTATGAAATAAAGAACAATTATGATCTAAAGGGTATCAAAATTTACAAAAAAAAAAAAAAAAGCTAATATTTATTTGTTTACTTTATTAAACATTTCTTTCAATGTAAGTTGTTTGTTGCTTTTTTTATGTGATAATACATTCTCTTTAATCTAATAAAAAAATTTCTTTTCAGTTACAAAGTTTGTTCAACCTAAATGTGTCGAAAACCGACTAATTGCAATCGAAATTTTTTCGTTTTCAATAACTACTTTCTTCGCTATGAATGAATTATAATGACGAGGAATTTGATTTAAATCATATCAAAGACGGAGTACATCGAGATGAAATACTACATTTAGTAAGGAATTATAAGCCAAATAAAATAAAAACATCTGCCCTGAAGATAAGGATAGTGCTGACAGATCAACTTCCAATTCATTGCGCGCGCGCAGGCGTTGTAAAAGATTTCGGAATGGTTAAACAAAGGATATGCCTTTATCCATTTTTTGCAGCAATTCCACTTTTTGTTTAATGGACTTCGAAACATACTTTTCGCTTTGTAGATCCTTTACATATTAGTAAATATATATCGGAAATTCTATTTGACATAATCGAAAGTTCAAGCTTACTTTTATAAAATTGCTCTAACAGTCTGCAAAAAATAATAAGCCGGATCCAATTCGAAGATTAAGGAACAACGCAATCTGCAACATTAACTGAATTAGATAATTTTAGCTTAGCTTATACCGTCCGTTATACATTAAACGCGCATGCGTAAATGTATTTATGCGCATGCGCACACGCATATTCGCAGCGATAAAGGTCTTGCGTGCTTGCGTCAAAGCGACGCATGCGCAGAAAGTTTGTAGCTTTGAGGTCCGGATTATAGATCATTCCGGAT